CGCCCCCACCCCACTCCCACCCACCGCACCCCTAGGACTCGGCAGGCCGGTTACCTTTCTCCTCTCTCCACACCTTTTTCTTCTTGTTGCTGGGGTACATGTTGCCGTGGGGGTGGCTGGCTTTAAGCTGCAAGTTCCCCAGGCTCACGGGCAAACAGGGTGTGTATGTAGTGGGAGGGGAGAGAGGGGGCACTCGGGAAGGAAAAAGTGAAGGAGGCTCCGCGTCCCACACCTCTCGCAGCTCTCCAGTCGCCGCCCTCCTCCCTCAGCCTGCGCTCGGCTCCGGCTCCCACCCGCCTCAGCCCCGCAGACGCCGCCACAGCAGCACCTCAGAGCCTGTCAAGTAGGTCACGCCTCGCGCTAACCTAACACCCGCGCAGGCCCCGCCTCCCAGCCGCTAGCCAGCGCCGCCTCCCATTGGCTGTACCGCCCGCCGCTCTCACCGTTCCAGCCACCGCGCGCTCCGACTTCGGCCCCAGAGCGCACGCGCAGGCGCAAGCTCGAGCCCGACGCTGAGGACGTTGGGGAGCGGGAGGGGGCGGAGCCAGGGCGCGAGGGTGCTGGAAATGGCCTCGCGATGGGGGCCAGATTGAGGAGCGGACGCCTGGGAGGAGTGTTGGCTGCTGGCCCCACCCTCTGGCTTTGCAGCGCTCGGAGGACCTGAGGGCGTGGTCTATAGTCCAGGTGCCCCAGGTAACCGAGCAGCGAGGTGGGGAACGCTACGCCTAAAACTTGAAGATGTGGAAGTGGGAGATGTGAGTCAACACGTATTGTCCATGTTACTCTAACTGGCCCTTCTTTCTGCATGGATTTTACTAGATAATCTGAAGCTATTTTTCTCGGTAGGCAAATATAACCGAAAGAAGTGAAAGGATTGAAAAATATTTCCAGATCTTATACAATGGGCTTCTCAACCTTGTGGTAAAAATTACAAATTTCACTGGAGTTATGTTTTAAGAACCGGGTTTTATGAATCGGGAAGTAGTGGGCAACCAAAATGTTATACTAGAAACAAAAGTCATATCAAAGTAAATTCAAGTGGGTGTTAACCAGAGCAAGGGCTGTTTATCATTTATTCCTCCACTGATTGCTTCAGGTCAAGGTGCTCACCCAAAGTGCTGCCTCGATTCTGGGTAATACAAATCTGTAGGTGTTCTGAAAATCCAGTTCCAGTAGAGTCCACCACAAAAGTAGATTGACCTAGAATTTAGAGGAAATTTGGTAACTCCCTCCCCAAATGTATTGCTTTTCTAAATATCAGGCCATCCACAGGCTGATTTGGTGGATGCGGTAAATCTACGTTTATTCAACAGTTGGGCGCTGTATTATATGTGTTCTACTTAAGCAGGTGGACAAAACCAAATAATGACTTGTGACACTTTTTTTATTAATTAAAGAAAAGGAGAAACCCCATTAAGATTTTTAAAAAATGAAATGTTTAACAGGACACTTTCATGAGAATGATTCATAACATAGTAAAATAATTTTTTGACGTCTCTGCTTCTGTTTTTCTTTTAATGCTAAGTACATAAACAAGAATTTGAGAGAAATCAGGAAAGCTTAGGATGGAAGTGACATTCGAGCTAGTAATAAAAATATACACTTATTTATTGGCAATGAAATAAGGAGGGGTCTGATTCAACTTACATTACCACAGTAGAGTCAATAAAAATTGATAATGGAGTAGATTTGGGGAAGAAGATGAGAATGAGAAAGAAGATAAGACTTTCATGGTCTACTCAAGACAGAGTAAACCTGTAAATTTAAGAGAACAAATATATCTGTTTCTGAAGTAATTACTTGGATACACTGTAAAAGTTGAATATATTTTAGGTATAATTTCTCAACTACCTCCATTTTTTGGATTATACTTAATATTGCCATGCTTTTACCTAAATTTTCATTTTGTTTTCTGGTTCTAGCCTTGAGAACACTCACTTGCGAAATGGCCATATTGTTTAAGATAGTAAAGAAGGGATTTTCAAATACCTTTTAATGAAAGTTTAATGAAACACCTTTTTTTATAAGTCATTGATGACTTTGATGTTTGTCTTTGTCCCAGTAAAACCTCAGAAGTTCCTTACATGAACAAGAGATAAACATTTTCACCAGATGGGGACCAAAAACTTGGTCCTTATGTTTCTTACCCACCATAGCCTTTAGATATTAGATTAAAGGATGACATGAGGTCAGCTCATGTACTTAATTTCTTTACACATAAGTACAGCTCACACCTCTGGAGGTAACATAAAAATAAGAACTTTCAATATCTCTGAACATTATTTAAACATTAGTGTGGACATGTACAAATTGGACTTACATCCCTTCCTTTAGTTTCAGAGAGCAACTCCTATTTCAAGCCTACCCCTTATCTCCTGCCAAAGGAGTAGCAGAGTAGGTATGTTTCTCCCCCATAGCATGCTTTTCAAGCAGCTGCCTTCATTCTGGGCCAAAAGAAACTTCCTGGAAGCTCATTGGCCCAAGAGTAAGAAAATGGTTGCTTAGCAACCAAATCCTGACCACCCCCCACACAAACCTGAAAAGAAGAAGCTTGTGGGCCAGCCACCTAGTTCTGCCTGCGTTACACTGAGCCGGAGCTGCTTAGAAAATGAAGCCATTGTCCATGTTAATAGAGATATTGATAATTCTTGGGGTCACGATTAAAAGTAAGTTTTTCTGTTCTTATTGTTCTCAATAAGGGTCTTTTCTCTAACAGCATAAGAGTAGAAGCTTATTTAAATCTGCAGTAACCTCAATATATGCTCAGTTAACACCATTTTTGGATAAGTACTTAAAATATTCAATAAGGATAGATAGTAATTATACTCTCATTTAGGATAGTACTTAGTAAGGACTGTGTGTGTGTGTGTGTGTGTGTGTGTGTGTGTGTGGCAGGGAGGGGAGAGGAAAAGAGGAAGAAAGAAAAATTGGGAGAACAAATTGAGCAAACTTATCTGGAAAGCATTACGGTAATTTTTATAGAGTAGGGATATTTGAGACAGGTTAAGTTTTGTTAAATCTAGAATATCATGGAGATATAGTTTCAGGACTGTAAAGAAAAAGTACAAAGAGTGGTAATGTGTAATAAATTTATATTCTTATAGTCTTTTCCAATTTTTTCAGAATAATTCTTCCAAAGTTTCCATGTTTCCTAACTAGTTACTATCTTAAAATGCAATTTTTTTTCAATCTTGTTTTTCTGACCATTTATTGAGTTAATTCTCACCCAGTCCTTAAATAATTTATTCATCATGAAATCAATTTAAGAAATATTTATTTGTATTTAACCCAGGAAAGCAAGGTTGGTATAACATCTAAAAATTAATGTAACACACCACATCAGTGGAATAAAAGACAAAGACTACATGATTATCTCAATTGATGCAGAAAAGCTTTTGACAAAGTTCAATACCCCTTTTGTTATAAAAACACTCAACAGACTAGAAATTGAAACTTTCTCAACATAAAGGGCATCCTCAAAAACCCCACACCTAATATATTTAATGATGAGAGACTGAATATTTTCCCCCTAAGATTAGGAACAAAACAAGGATGTGCACTTTTGCCATTTCATTTCAACATTGTACTAGAGATTCTAGCCAAGGCAATTAGATAAGAAATGAAATAAAAGATATCAATATAGGAAAGGAAGAAGTAAAACTATCTCTATTTACTAATGATGCAATCTTATATACAAGAAAATCCTAAAGAATTCACTAAAAAACTATTAGAACTAGTAAACAAGTTTAGCAAGGTTGCAGAATAAAAGATCAATATACAAAAATCAATTCATTTCTATACAGTCTCAGCGAACAAACCAAAAATGAAATTAACAATTCCATTTATGATATAATCAAAAAGAATAACGTACTTGAAAATAAATTTTACAAAAGAAGTACAAAACTCGTATGTTGATAACTACATGAAAAACAATATTATTAAGATGGTACTATTACCCAAATTGATCTATAAATTCAGTACAATCCCTATCAAAATCCCAGCTGACTGCTTTGTAGAAATTAACAAAATATCAGAAAATTAATATGGAAGTGAATGTTCTTTTTAAAAGAAAAAGCAAATTGGAAGACTCATGTGTCCCAATTTCAAAACTTACTACAAAGCTATAGTAATCAGGACAGTATAATACTGGCATGAAGGTAGACATGTAGATAGTAGAATATCACTGAGAGTTCAGAAATAAACCCTCACATTTATGGTCTATTTTGGCAATGATACCAAGAAAGCTTAATTAGGAGGGGAAAAAATAATCTTTTCAATAAATGATGAGGACAACTGGAGAGCCAAGTGCAAAAGAAAGAATTTAGATGCCTACTTCAGACCATATACAAAAATTAATCAAAACGGGTCTAAGATCTAAACGTAATAGCTAAGGCTTTAAAACTCTTAGAAGAAAACAGGCATAAATCTTTGTGATCTTGGATTAGTCAATGATTTCTTACATATACCGTCAAATCACAAGCAAAAAAAAAGAAAAAAAAACAAACCGAACATCATCAAATTTTAAGTACTTTTACACTTCAAAGGACATTATCAAGAAACTGAAAAGGCAATCCATTGAATGGGAGAAAATTTTTACAAATCATACATTCCATAAGAGTTTAGTATTCAGAATATATAAATAAATAACTCTTACGACATCAACAAAATGACAAACAACCCAATTTTTTAAATGGGCAAAGGAATTGGATAGATGTTTCTCCAAAAAAGATATACAAATAACCATCAAGTGCATGAAAAGAGACCCAAATCATTGGTCATTAAAAAAATTAATATCAAAACCACAATGAGATACCACATCATACCCATTAGAATGGCTAGAATTTAAAAAAAATGGAAAATAACAAGCTTTCATAAAGATGTGGAGAAATAGGAACACTCATACATTGCTAATGAGAATGTAAAATGATACAGCCACTGTGAAAACAGTTTAGCATTTCCTCAAAAAGTTAAATATAGAATAACCATATGAACTATCAATTCCACTACTAGGAATATAACCAAGAGAAATGAAAGAATATGTCCACACAGAAGATGTGTACACAAATGTTTATAAAAACATTATTTGTTATAGTTAAAAGATGGAAACAACCTAAATGTCCATCAACAAATTAGTGGATAATTTGTGGCATATATATGCAATGGAATATTATTCAGTCATGAAAAGGAATGAAGTGCTGATACGTATGACAAGTTGGATGAACTTCAAAAACATTATTAAGTGAAAGAAGCCTGACACAAAGGCCACGTAGTATATAATTCTTATTGTATGAAATATACATATATATGTGTATACGTATTTATTTTCCAGAATAGGCCAATCCATAGACACAGAAAGCAAATTAGTGATTGCCAAGGAATAGGGGAAGAGAGAGTGGGGAGGGGGAGTATTTACTGAGTACAAAGTATACTTCTGAGATAATGAAAAAGTCGTCAAACTAGAGATAGATGGCTGTTGCATGACATTATGAATGCATTAAATTTTACTTAATTGTACACTTTAAAATGGTTAGTTGCATGCTATGAGTTTCACCTCAATTTTTAAAATATGGTGCAATGCTTTGGAAAACTGTCAGTTCTTCAAAAGATTAAACATAGAATTACCATATGATCTAAAAATTCTACTGCTAGGAATATGCACAGGAAAATGTAAACTTATTTTTACACAAAACTTGTACAAAAATGACAGCATTATTGATAGTGGCCAAAAAGTGAAAAAAAAAAAAAAGTCCAACTGTTGAGTGGATAAAATTTAGTATATCTGTATAATGCAACAGTATTCAGCAAAAAAGTACGATATGTATGAACATTGAAAACATTATTCTAAGTAAAAGAAACTAGATATAAAAGATCACATGTTGTGTGATTCCATATTTATGAAATGTCTAGAATAGGCAAACTCACAGAGATAGAAATTAAATTGCTGGCTACCTAGGGCTGGAAGGTTTAGGAGAACTGAAGAAATTATGGCTAAGGGAGACAAGATTTCTTTAGGGGTAATGAAAATATTCTAAAGTTGTGACACAAATCTGTGAATATCCTAAAAGCCACTGAATTGTAGGGGAAAAAAAGATATTTAATAAAAGTTATATGTCAATGTGTATTGAGGATACGAGACTAAGTCTTTATACTTGAGCAGCTTAGAGTCTAGAAGAAAAAAAACCAAGCAAACAAGTAAATAAATTGTAAATTTTTGTAGGAACTAAAGTAGAATCATTAATAGGGTACTGTAGGGCACAAATAAGGAAATGATCAATTCTACCAGTGTGTAGAGTGGTTAGAAAGTCTTCATAAAGGAAATGATATAAGTTGAATCTTGAAAGATTAGTGTTCACCAAGAAGACAAAGAACAAGACATTTCAAATCAGGTAAAGGGAGTAAACACAGGGAAAATAAAACATGATCTATATAAATAACTCTTATGTACTGTGGTGTAGGATACAAGAAGGAACACAGCAATTGATGAGGCTGGAGAAGTAGGCAGAGATTTTGTGTATTAGGCAATGAAGTTTGGGTTTTATCCTGTGAGCAATGGGGAGTCATATAAGGGTTACTCATGAAGAACATGAATAGAATTAAGCTTTGACTTTGACAGTAGAAAGGTGAATGGATTCTAGCTGTATAACTCTGATGATGATATTGAATGACCCAAACAAGAAACGATGAGGACTTAAACTATTAGCAATGGCAGTGGGTACTGAAAGGAGTAGGTGGATAGTAAGGCTAGAGATAATAGTGTCACAAGAGCCCAGAGCGAAATTGTACCAAGAAGACAGTAATAGCCAGAAGTGCCAAATGCCAGAGAGAGTGGGGAGGTGAGGTAAGGGCCAACAAGTGGCCATTGGATTTAATAGCAAGAGAATCTACATTTCCAGGACAATTATTAGAGAAGCAGAGACAAAACCTGATTTCAATTGATAGAAGTGAACAAGAGAGGAAAAAGACAGTGATGATTATAGAGCTCTTCGTGGGTTATGGTGCTTTGCAGGATCAGATGAATTTTCAACAGATCATCTATTGACTGAAGGTCTACAGAGACCAAGGGAAGTAGTTAGTGGAGGGAGAAGACAGTTGTTTTACAAACTGGTGTTAAAAGACCTAAGATTCATACATAAAATCAGCCTTTAACCCTACTCTCTTTTTCTCTCTCTGCCCCTCTAATCTAGCTCTCAAAGCAAAACAGACGAGTCTGCCTTTTTTCTCTGACATATACCTTACAAGCTTGCATATTGCCTTTTAATGCATTTTTTCAGTTGATGCTCAATGTACTTTGATAAAAATATTTAGTGAGGGATGCTGTGATAACTATGTGATTGTCCCTGACTCTGCATTGACTTCGGGAAAGTTTTTAAAAAGTTAAAGACATTATGTTTTCCTTTTGGTAAGTCAAAATAAAGTAGTTGATGATGATGGAAAGAATGAGTAATATATTCCAAAGTGTGGCTTAGAAAATAGAAGTAGAACTGATAGTGTGTTTTTTCTCTGTCACTCTACCAACTCAGCTGCTGATTGAAGGTAGGGTAAGATAATACAACTGAAGCAGAGAAAAGACATTGCCAGGATTTCTGGCTCAAGATAATCAGGATCCAAGTTTTCCCTATTCTATTTATCTCTTTCTAGTACTAATTACTCACTACCATACATTCAA